TAGGTTTTTCGGGCTTTATGGCCATATTCTAGAAGCATTCTCTCCTGACGTTTCGCCTGCATCTGTGGCAAGCATCCTCAGAGGTTTTACGCCATTGTCTTGGAGGCAGAACCTAACACCTCTTCTCCACATCCCAAGGTATAGCTCAGGCTCTTCCTCCCAGAAACACATAGCTGCTGATCAGCTGTTGGGGTGAACATAGGCATATTTAGATGGCCACACTGGGGGAAGATGGAGCCAACTTCATTTTAACAACAGGCTGTTCCTTCTTCACCAACAGACAGTTGTTGGAGGGATAAAGCTGCTCCCGTTAAACCACCACCACCACCACCACCTGCTATTGTGCCCCTACATTGAGGAATGTTGTGGAACAAATGGCCTGATACCTTCCTCTGTAATGTTCCCCCAAATAAATCTTCTGCAATAACCAGCGTATATCAACAAGAGCATTCTAAGCAGAAGATCCTTGCCAGGACTGATAGGCATCTCCAGGTAGGTCTGAGAAACACCCTTCTCTGAAGCTCAGGCTGGATCTACACTGTCCTATATCTCAGGATCTGATCCCTGATTATCTGCTTTGAACTGGATTATATGAATCTACACTGCCAGAAAATCCAGGATAAGCAGATCATCTGGGATCGGATCCTTGAATATAGGACAGATGCAGCCTCAGGAGAAATGGCTTCCAGTGTTCCTAGTAAGGTAAAGGTAAAGGTTTTCCCCTGACATCTAGTCCAGTTGTGTCTGACTCTGGGGGTTGGTGCTCATCTCTATTTCTAAGCTGAAGAGCCAGCATTGTCCATAGACACCTCCAAGGTCATGTGGCCAGCATGACTGTATGGAGTGCTGTTACCTTCCCGCCAGAGTGGTACCTCTTGATCTACTCACATTTGCATGTTTTCAAGCTGCTAGGTTGGCAGAAGCTGGGGCTAACAGAGGGAGCTCACCTGCTCCCCGGATTTGAACCTGCACCCTTTCATTCAGCAAGTTTAGCAGCTCAGCGGTATAACCCACTGTGCCACCAGGGGCTCCAATGCTCCTAACGTACAGCATATTCATTTCTGCCTCATTCAAGAATATCCTTATAAAAATACAAATACTTTAATAGTCATTTTTGTACCATCATAATTAGCCAGCAGCAGGGCCATCCTGAGCCAAGGTGCATCTTTATGCTGTCATCCAAACTTCTTAAAGGATATCATGTTGTCTATTTCTGAGTGCCTTCTAGAGCAGGGGCCTTTGGGTGTTTTGGACTGCTGTATCCAGAATCTCTGTCCATTAGCCAAACTAGCAGGGGTTTCTGGGATCTGAACTCCAAAGCAACTGGAAAAAATAACTTTTGAGATTTCTGTTCTGAATGTTTTGTGGGAGTATCCTCGTAGTCCCTACTGCTTGCTGGTGCTCATGGGAGCAGTAGACTGAAACAGATGGAAGGCATGAAGTGTGCTAATCTATCCTGCCCCATCAATCCTAGTTGTTGTGATTGTTGTTTACAACTAATTGAACCCCAAAGGTGACCCTATCCTGAGGCCTTATTAGCAAGATTTGTTGGGAAGGGATCAACTTTGCCTTCCTCTGAGGCTGAGAGAGTGTGACTCACCCAAGGTCACCCAGTGGGTTTCCATTGCCGAATAGGGATTTGAACTGTGGTCTCCATAGTCCTAGGCCCCTTCCACACAGCTAAACAAAATCCTACATTTTCTGCTTTAAAGTGGAATATATGGCAGTGTGGACTCAGATAACCCAGTTCAAAGCAGATATTGTGAGATTTTCAGCCTTAATATTATGAGTTATATGGCTGTATGGAAGGGACTATAGTCCCATGTTCAAATGACTACACCTCACTAAAGGTAAAGGTAAAGGTTTTCCTCTGACATTAAGTCCAGTCATGTCCGACTCTTGGGGGTGGTACTCATCTCCATTTCTAAGATGAAGAGCCGGCATTGTCCGGTCATGTAGCTGGCATGACTGCATGGAGTGCCATTACCTTCCCGCTGGAGCGATACCTATTGATCTACTCACATTTGCATGTTTTCGAACTGCTAGGTTGGCAGATGCTGGGGCTAACAGCCGGAGCTCATGCCATTTCTCGGATTTGAACCTGTGGCCTTCTGGTTAGCAAGTTCTGCAGCTCAGCGGTTTAACCCATTGCACCACCTCACTGGCTCTAACCAATTATATTTTTCTCTTGGGAAATGTGGGTGTCTCAGCTCCTAGTTTCTTTCCCCCTACCAGTTTTTCCCACTATTTGTCACACTTTCAGTATTGCATGAGAGAGAGAGACCTACCAAGTGTTGCAAACTATTTTAAAAAGTGGGTGAATCCCATACATTTTGAGTTGCCATCAAAGCACTCCCTAGAACAGCATTCCCATCAGAACATCACTTAAACATTCTCAGAACATGTTGATGTCATTGCTATGAAATCACTTCCAGTCTTTATGTGCCGCCACTATGCATCCCAGAGGTATCAGAGATGATGGAATTTCTATAAATGGCAATATGTCATCACTATCATCAAGCTTCCCTATTAAGCTTTCAGAAAAGGGAACAACTTTGCCTCTCAGCCAGGATGAAATATAGATTGAGTTTGTTGTTGTGTGCCTTCAAATAATTTCTGACTCAATCCCAAGGCAAACCCATCCCAGGGTTTCTGGGGCTGAGAGTGTGTGACTCACTCAAGGTCATCCAATGGTCAAGCAAGGAACTGAATCTTGATCTTCATAGTGATCATAGTCAAACATCATCCTGGCTCTCTAGTTCACATCAGATAATGTTTTGATAGTGACCTCATATGCTTGGGGCTCATCTACTTTTATGATACTTAAGGTTCTTTCACATTACACGGTTATAGTATTATGAACATACTAAGTGCCATGGCTGTATTCTATGGAACCCTGGGATTTGTAGTTTGGCCAAGCAGTAGAGTGCTCTTCCTAAACTGCAAATCCCAGGAGTCCATAAGATGTTGCCAAGTGGAATCAAAGCAATAATAATAATAATAATAATAATAATAATAATAATAATATAGCTGAGTAATATGAAAATGTCCTTCGTATGTGACCAGCTGTCTCCTTCAAAAGATAGCGGAGTTGTGTTGTGCCTTCAACTTGTTTCTGGTCTGGAGGCCCCAAAGCAATTCTATCCCAGGTTTTTCTGGGGCTGAGAGTATGTGACTTGTCCAAGGTTACCCAGTGAGTTTCCATAACTGAGCAGGGGAATCAAGCCCTAGTCTCCAGGGTCATCCCTTAATGCTGAAACCACGGGCAAGACACAAAGCACACAAAATAAATATTTACATTGCACATGTATTCCAGCTCAAAAGCACAATTTTCTTCGTTCTCTGCTGTTTTCTATATCTTTCGCAGACAATCTGGTGAGGTGGGCCAGACTGAGGGCATTCCAGGATTGAGAGTGAACTTGAACTTGGACTGCCAGGATCAAAGGTCACAATTTTCCACCTTCATTTCTTTTTTTCATTATTAGACTATTTTTCTTAGAGGGAAAGAAAAAGAGTCTAATAATGAAAAAAGAAACAAAGGTGGGAAATTGTGGCCTTTGACCCTGGCAATCCAAATCTCCACACATTCCATCTCCCGACCTACTGGGGGAGGGGATTTATACCCAGTCCAAATCTGGGACCACCCTCTTTTTACTCAAAGAACTAGAAGAGGAGTCCCCAGTATATAATTAATCAAAGCAGAAACATGCCTTCCAGGAAAGAAGAAAAAGAAAGGGGGGAAGGGGGGAAGAAGAAAAGGTGGAAGGTGGAGGAGGGAAGAAGGGGGGTGGTGGAAGGAGAAAAAGAAGGAAGAAAATGAGGAGGAAGAAGCAGGAGAAGAAGAAGAGGAGGGAGGAAGGAAAGAAGAGAAGGAAAGAAGGAGAGAAAAAAGAAGAAGAGGGAAAATGAATGAAGGAAAGAAGGGAGAAGGAAGGGGAGAAAGAAGGGAAGGAGAGAAGAGAAAGGAGGGAGAAAGGAGAGAAGAAAAGAAGGGAGAGAGGAAGAAGAAGACGCCTGGGGAAGAAGGAAGAGAAGGAAGGAGAGAAGGGAGGGAGGGAGGGAGAAAGGAGGGAAGGAGAGAGAAAAAAGGGGGAGAGAGGGAAGGAAGGAAAGGAAGGAGGAAGGGAGGGAGGAAGGGGGGGTGAGAGAGAGAGAAGGGAGGAAGAAGGAAGGAAGGAAGGGAGGAAAGAAGGAAGGGAGGAGAAAGGAAGGAAGGAAGGAAGGGAGAAAAGAAGGGAGAGAGGAAAGAGAAAAGAGAGAGGGGAAAGAGGAAGGAAGGAGAGAAGGAAGGAAGGAGGGAGGAGGGAGAGAGAAAGAGGGAGGGAGAGAGGGAAGGAAGAAGGAAGGAAGGAAGGAGAGAAGGGAGGGAGGAAGGAGGGAGGGAGAGAGGAGAGAGAGGGAAGGGAGCAAAGGGAGGAAGGAAGGAAGGAAGAAGAAGGAAGGAAGGAGGAGAAGAAGGAAGGGAGAAGGAAGGGAAGAAAGAAGGGAAGGAGAGAAGGAAGGGAGAGAGAGAGGGAGGAGAGAGAGAAGGAGGGAGGAAGAGGAAGGAAGGAAGGAGAGAAGGAAGGGAGGGAGGGAGAGAGGGAGGGAGAGAAAGAAGGAAGGGAGAAAGGGAGGAAGGAAGGAAGGAAGGAAGGAAGAGGGAGGGAGGGAGGAGGGAGGGAGAAAGAAGGAAGGAAGAAGGGAAGGAAGGAGGAAGGAAGGAAGGAAGGAAGGAAGGGAGGGAGGGAGGGAGGAGGGAGGGAGGGAGGGAGGGAGAAGGAAGGAAGGAAGGAAGGAAGGAAGGAAGGAAGGAAGGAAGGAAGGAAGGGAAGGAAGGAAGGAAGGAAGGAAGGAAGGAAGGAAGGAAGGAAGGAAGGAGACTGAACTCAGATCTTCGCATCATCCCACCGGCATCATCCCTCCTTTGCCTCCCTCCATACATCATGACATCATCCCGGTCCCTTGCCCACCCCTCGGAGAGGTGATCTCCATCTGGGCGACCCCTCGCCTCCCCATTGGCCAGGAGGAGCTGCCCGTCATTCCCTCTAGTGGGCGGCCCCCCACGCCGCTCTCTTTCCCTCCCTCCCTCCTTCCTTCCCTCCCATCTCAGCCTGCCTCTTCAATCTGGCACTTCAGACAGCCGAGCCTGACAGTGGGCAGCAGCCAGGAGTTGGAGAAGCCCCCAGCCCGGCTCGGATCCCCAGGCAAGGCGAAGCCAAGCAAGGCGGGTGAGTGAGAGGGCTGGAGCCATTGGGTACCACTCATCCTTAGCCCAGGGATGTGGTTGCCGGGGGAGACGGGATGCAGGAGAGAGGGAGGGAGGAAGAGGAAGAGGGAAGCAGCTAGGCGGAAAGTTTCCTCGCTTTCCTGTCCTCCTCTGGACTGACCTAATTCCTTATCCTGGAGCCCAGCCTCATCCACTATGCCTAGGAGACTTTTTGGTTCATTATTATTATTATTATTATTATTATTGGAGCCATTCATCCCTTTGGTCTAACACCGATGTGCTGCACCACCGCACCACCGCCACCTTCTTCCTCACTCCCCTGTCCGCAAGGATAGAACAATCCAAAAGAAAAGCAGCCAAGGGAAAGAAGGAGTAGACATCCGTAGCTCTCCCTTTGCTAAAGTCCCATGCCTATCACTTCCCTCCATCCCTTGGGGACAAAGATGGGAGTTCCAGCTTTGCTTACAAGGACAGCAAAAAAGCACTCAGCCGTTGAAGTCAGAACCAGGCAGGAATGATTTGACTCCTGTCTTGATGCAAAAAGAAAGAAAGAAAGAAAGAAAGAAAGAAAGAAAGAAAGAAAGAAAGAAAGAAAGAAAGAAAGAAAGAAAGAGGCTGCATGGGTAAGTGCTGCTTGAGATAGTTTGCTGCTTGGCTGAAGCTGGAAAGCTAGGACAAAAGCTCTCCTTGGGTGTCTCTGAGTCAATGCAGTTGCAGAACTGGGGCCAGGAGCCAAAGTGTGCCGGATCCGTGACTGCCCATGAGGTAGACAGAAACTCTGAGACTTTAGACAACTAGAGCGTTATCTTGCAATGTTGAGATGTCAGGCAAAAACATTGCTATTTGGAAAGGCAACAGTTTGTACACACAAACATGCTTTGTCAATAGCATGTTTCACAGGCTTTGATATAATTGCTACTCTCTGCTTTCCTGATGAAATGCTTCTGAATGGCACCAAAACGCACTGACACACGTCTCCTGCCATCACATATAAAGCCGCTGCATTCCTCCTGCAATGTATGTTTGGATGACAAAAATAGCAATCTGGACTCTTTTAATTTATGGTCCATGCTTGAAAGTACCGGGATAATAAAAAGGGGAGGAAAGTGTCTGGCTTTCCAGATGTCTTTAGACTGCACATCCTGTCAATTATTTTATATTTATTTATTTATTTAAAACTTTTGTCTCCCGATCTTCTCTACCTCTGTAGAGGGACCCAGACCGGCTAACACCAAGAATTCAATGCTAACAATAATAACCTTTTAAAACATCATACATAAACAACAGGTTAAAAATACATATAAGATAAAATGCATATAAACCATTCACCAAAATAAAAACAACATCCAACTCAGTCCGCACATTGTGGTCAATAACTTTAGTCAATTTATGATCTCAGCCATCACTCTGCAAATGCCTCTCCACAACCAGGATTTCACTTGCTTCCTAAAGAGGGAGGGGGCAGATCTAACTTCATTCGGAAGCGAGTTCCATAGCCGGGGGGCCACCACAAAAAAGGCCCTGTCTCTCATCCCCACCCAACGCGACTGCAAAAGTGGTGGGACCGAGCGCAGGGCCTCTCCAGAAGATCTTAGGTGGCATAGCCAGTGGTGAGGATGCTCCGTGTTACAGTTTGTCAGTGCTCATTCCTGCTCAAAGGCCTCGAGAGGAACAATAGAAAAATATGAAAGCTGTTCAGGCAAGGATAATCCAGCTATCTTTGTAAATCCCATTATCCATTAATGCAGAACACCGCTGGGATGGCTGGGACGTGCATTCAAAGTTGCATTGGAGCTCCCAGGAAAGCAGAAAGTTTTATCAAAGGAGTGTCCTTGGTTGGCAAGACTCTTTAGTCCACTCACTAAGGGAGAATTTCTGCTGGATGGAAGCCAGCCACTCTTTCCATAGATGCCTAGTAGTCAGGGAAGGCATACGCCACTTTGCTGGTTGAGGCAGAAGGGAAAATCATGCTGCCCGTCTCCATAACTCTGTATGAAAGCCAGTGGGGTTGTTTTGGCATTAGACAGGAAAAATAAACATGTTGCCACAGGTGGATAGGTGTGTGTGTGTGTGCCAGGAGTTGCTTCTGGTGTGAGAGAATTGACCGTCTGCAAGGACATTGCCCAGGGCACACCTGGATGTTTTGATGCCTTGTGGGAGGTTTCTCTCATGCCCTCACATGGGGAGCTGGAGCTGGCATAGGGAGCTCATCCGCGCTTTCCTCAGATTCGAACCTGTGACCTGTTGGTCTTCAGTCCTGCTGGCACAAGGGTTCAACCCATTGCACCACTCTGGGTGGATAGATAGATAGATAGATAGATAGATAGATAGATAGATAGATAGATAGCAACTAATTGGTGCCCATTGAAGAGCCCCAGATCTTGCTACCTGAAGTAGATTTCATACTCTTGCTAATTATAGGACTTTCTCTGCTAGTCTTTGTCCAGTAATTGGTTGACCACCCCTAATAGCATCATTTGGTCTTTGCCTGTTTCCTTTGCTTCATCCATTAATCATACCATAGATATTTTGTAAAAGGATGGAAGATTAATTCTACACCGTGAAAATGCTGCTCAGGGCATGAAGGGCAAAAACAGTCCTTTGCTAAAGGCCAGTTTCTTCATAGCCATTGACCCCCAGGGACATGTGCATGTGTATGTGCGTGTGTGTGGTTTGTGGTGTCTGTAGGTGAGGCCAATGTCATCATTTTTTTTAGAAATTGCCTGGGGTATGTGTGGGAGCCGGAGCCGTCTATGTGACACCGCAGCTAAACTGGGGTGAAAGGAATGATTTGGCAAGTTGCTGGGCTCAGTTTCTTCTTCTATTTATTTACTGTGAGGGGTTAGTAGAGATGCTTGAGGTACAGCTGGCCTTAGGTATCCAACTAACTTCACTTGGAAAATTAGGGCTGCCCAGAAGAAAGAGAGGGACATGTGGGAGAGTTGACTCAATATGAATTTCTGACCCCTGCCCTTGCCATATTGCACCCCAAAGCTCCCTTCTCTGTTCATAAGTCGTTTTACAAGCTAATACAGGCAGACTCCAAGTTACAAACATCTCATAGTTAAGAACAGGGGTGAGAAATCAGGAAGTGAGAGGAATCTACTCCTCAGACGGAAAATTCACTCCTGAAAGAGCTATCATGGAGAAAAGGTGTCTCCACTGAAGCTTTTTCACCATTTCTTGTTTCCGCAACAAACCAATGTTTTCAAAATCCAATTGCCACAGAGACAGAAAGTGAGTTGAAATCTTCTGAAAAGGGGCACCAACAGTAAAACAAATGCACAGGGGTGTTAACCCATCCCTTTGCTATCCAAAGCTTTTGTATATATGTTCAAAAAGGTAAGGCTTTCCCCAACATTGTCTGACCCCGGGGGGGGGGGGTGGTGCATCTCCATTTCTAAGCCGAAGAGCTGGGGTTGTCTGTAGACACCTCCAGGTCATGTGGCCGGCATGACTGCATGGAGCATGTTACCTTCCCCAGAGCAGTTACCTATTGATCTACTACATTTGCATGTTTTCAAACTGCTAGGTTGGCAGAAGCTGGGGCTAACAGGGAGCTCACCCTTGCTCCCTGGATTCGAAACCACTGACTTTTCGGTCAGCAAGTTCAGCAGCTCAGCGTTAAACCCACTGCGCTACCAGGGGGCCCATAGTTTAACTCTGTTGCAAGAAAAGAAGAAGAAGAAGAAGAAGAAGAAGAAGAAGAAGAAGAAGAAGAAGAAGAAGAAGAAGAAGAAGAAGAAGAAGAAGAAGAAGAAGAAGAAGAAGAAGAAGAAGAAGAAGATACAACTGCAAGGACAGGGCTGATAGAAAAGTACAAGAGCCAGATGATAAGTTAGGACTGGCAGGGCCAAGTTAATTAATGCAACACATACATACATACATACATGCATACATACACACACACACACTTGTGTGTGTGTGTGTGTGTATTTATGGCTGTAGTTACACTTAAAATGTACCTATTCCAACTTCGATACAAATTCCTCTTAAGAACAAACCTACAGAACCTAACTTGTTGGTAACATGGGACTGCCTGTAGACGGATCCTCTAACTCCACACTCCTAACATCACCCCAGCCTTGAACCCCATTAACTCTCTGGGAAACCCTATGGGAGGAGGCCTAGTCCTGTGGGATGAATTGGAGAAGAACTTGGATCTGAGTCTTAACTTTCGATGAATTATACAAGGCATCAAAAATCTCCCTCCTTCAATAGATTCAGTACATTGGAAAGCTCCTTTACAGTTCACTCTAAAATCTAAAGCATCCTGACCACCCCATTAATATGAATGCCACCAGCTGCCTAGAGATGGTACATCCATCAGTGGTGGGTTCTTCTGGACAACCATCCCTTTATGAGTTTTCTTTAACAGCACATCCAATCCCTCTCCCCCTACGTTTGTCACATTTTCCCGATGTCCCCCCTTTTTTCATCCCCCTGCATCTAACACAACAGAGCTTCCCTTTGGATATTTTATGGGATGTCTCCACAAATGCATGCGCACACAACAAGCAACACATACACTTTCATAGCATGTTTAATGGAGCCCTGGGTGGCGCAGTGGGTTAAACCCCTGTGCCGGCAGGACTGAAGACCGACAGGTCGCAGGTTCGAATCCAGGGAGAGGCGGATGAGCTCCCTCTATCAGCTCCAGCTCCTCATGCGGGGACATGAGAAAAGCCTCTCACAAGGATGATAAAACATCAAATCATCCGGGTGTCCCCTGGGCAACGTCCTTGCAGACGGCCAATTCTCTCACACCAGAAGCTACTTGCAGTTTCTCAAGTTGCTCCCGACACGACACAAAAAAATAGCATGTTTACGTTTGTCCCATAAGAGAAACCAAATGATTACGAAAAAATCAGGAAGGAAAGAAGGCGGTAAGAGAGGATCCAGGCAGGAAGTAATCTTGAAATCCAAACACAAGAAGGGAAAAAGTTGAAAGAAGCAGAGCCATGTGGTGCGATGCTTTGGTGGAGGAAAGGTTTAACGCTG